AAGTGGCCCCCCAGCCTTTCCCCCTCCCCTAGCAGAGCCTATGGGCCGGGGTGTGCGTGGGCCGGGCCAGGCTCCGGGCACGAAATAAACAAGCAAGACTGTGTCCTTAGCGCGGGCATGCTGGTGCGAGCACACGCCCATGGGCTTTCCCCCCTCTTCGGCAGGCTAGCGTCAACACGGCGCTGGGCTTTGAAATCCAAAGTTTACACATTCCACCACCACCAGTAAAAACGGAGTGTATGTAGTAACATCACTTTCTTGTTTAGTGGCACACGCTGTGCATCTTTGGCAACAGTTATCCGATTTCAGTCTTCCATCTGTTCCTGCGACCAATCCAATGGCTTGTTCAAAGCAATCATTGTAGGCTCATTTCCTCTTCAGTTCCTTCTTGTAGTTAGCGGCAACGTTACCTTTATAAACCCAAAATCTTATTTACAAACCCTGCCTGTAGACTTAGAGTTTGAGTGATGTGACAGCAGAAAAGTTAATTGAAAACTCTTAAGGCAAGGAGTCTGGCTCTCTTAAGTCTTAAATTTTTCTTAGTGCTAGTTTGCGCTTATTTGAAACGACCACATGTTAATGTAAACATGTACAAAAGCACAATGTAAACAATGGAGAAGTAGGCATTTGTTCTCCTTTAGGATCAGTATTCTTATTTTAACAATAGAGGGTTAACTGTTCAGACATAAGTGATTATATTGGTTTTCTCTTTAAAAGTGGAGTCATTTGCCACTCAAGCATGAATGGGGAATCTGTCAATACAATACACTGTACAAGTTTCAATGCATTTATACTAGTTTAATAGTCTGATCTAGTGGTGGGGAATGTCCAGCTCATGGCCAAATCCAGCTCCTGCCTAATTTGATCTGGCCCATGGCAAGTCTCAGTGTTGCAAGCAGGAAGCCTTGAGTCTCCGTGCCAACAGTTCCTCCCATCGAGCTGGAACCACAAGTGCCACCTCATCCCTCTTCAGGGGGAAGCTAGGGTGCCAGGCTAGTCAGCTGTGTACACTGCAATCAGAAACGCTCTTGAGTCTGAGTGAGCCTGTCCCTGCAGCTTCTGTTGTCAGGTCAGTGGGAGCTGTGGGGGGCAGTGACCCCAGCCATGGATGATGCACACTGCATACAGCCACCTTGCCACGTCATGGGAACTAAATAGTCTGAAGTTAGCAGCACCCAAGTGTGAGCCTATAGCTCTCATTCCTTCCTGCACCCCAACCCGCTGCCCCAGCTTTAAGCCAGTTCCTGCAGCCAAACTCTGTCCAAGAGCTGAAACTCCATCCTCCACTCCAAACTTCTCAGCTCCAGTCTGGAGCACCCTCCGACATCTTGAACCCCTCACTCTGCTACCTAACAGCTTAGAGAAAGCCCCAAACCGCCACATACCCAGAGGCAGCCGGGTGTGTGTGTGTGTGTGTGCGCGTGTGCGCGCGCGCGCAGTTAGTTGTTAGGATTAACCAATAAACCGAGGCTTAGTAAATTGGTGTAGTACTTCACTGACATTGAGGGGAGGAAACCTCTAATATAGACACTGACATAATTAAGTCAACGTAAGCATCCTTAAATCAACGTAAGTGTGTAGTGTAGATAAGCCCTAAGTGAGTTAAGACCAAGTAACCTCCATTTTTTTCCTTGTTCTTTCATTGCCTGTGCTTTATGCTATGTGCATGAGGGAAATACTTACCACATCTACCTTATTTCCACCTTACCTGTTTCTGAGATCATGTAGTGCTTTCTTCTCTCTTTATCTTGTTTAAGTGTTCCTGACTATCAGAATTAATTCTGAAGTCTAAATTCTCATAATCAGACTAGGGATGTTAGGATTAATTGATAAGACCAGGCTTATCAGTTAATCATTTACTCAGTTATACACTATCAACTCCATGCACTCACCTACCCCTTACTGTATCAGAGGCAGCAAGGATGCGGGAGCAGGCACCCCACAAGCACCAGATTCACCTGCCCACCCCACCGCCATGTTGTTACCTTTGATAGAGAGAGAAAGAGAGCAGCAGAGAGGGTGAGGGAGGCAGGCTAGAGCTGATATGCACAGAGATCAGGCTCTCAAGCAGGCTTCCCTTGTGTGCCAGCTCCGTGAACCTGCCTGCCACCCTCCTTGCTGTCTTCTACAGAGGCAGCAGGGGGGCAGGCTGGAGCTGGTGCTGAGGGGAATTACTTAAGCCATCAGAGGCAGGAGTGGGGAGGGGCAGGGAAGGCTGCTGTGAAGCAGCAAGTGTGGACCCACTGCGGACAGGGGCTCGTCCATGGCAGCAGTTCCTCTCTCCTTGGGTTCGGGCTGAACTCCTTGTGGACAGAGGCTGCTGTCGCAGGCCAACCTCTGTCCTCATGGAACTTGGCCCCCACCCCTCTGTGGATGGGCCTGCTGCTACCTCATGCCACTGCCTCTGTATCAGAGGTGGCAGGCAGCCATTCTGTGCAGGGAGCTGTTTATTTTTCAATTGGCTCCCCTCATGGACCAGCTTCCTCCGGCCCCACCCGTAGTACGCAAGAACTATTGCAGAAGAACACATGCACACAGCCATGTGCTTTTGCGCAAGAGCATCCATGGCAGTGTGGACGCTCTCTTGTGCAAGAAAGGTCTGATGGCCATTTTAGCCAAAGGGCTTTCTTGTGCAAGAAACCCCTGCTGCGTGTCCACACTGTCCTCTTGCGCAAGAAGCCCTCTCTTCCCATGCTTTACTGTAAACTTTGCGCAAGAGCGGATGGGCTGTGTGGACGCTCTGCGGGTTCTTGCGCAAGAACAGCTGTTCTTGCGCAAGAACAGCTGTTCTTGCGCAAGAACCTGCCAGTGTACACATAGCCCTAGAGATTATTCAATTACAGGATAGCTAACATCTCTAACTCAGACAGCTGTGCTCCTTTCTAGATTATAAGTAAATTTCCTTGTTTTATCTAAGCACTGACAGCAAGTTACATTTCTGTTCTCCTTTCTGCATTTTAAACTTGACCATTTTATGTTCACATCTAAAAGCTTCTCTCAGAAATGTTACCTTCCTTTCTCTCTATCCACTGGATTTGCATTGTCTCACCCCACCATTCTTCTTAAGCCTGCCTCACTTTGCTTGATTTAAACTTCAGCTTTATACTGTTGCATTGAACAATAACGTCAAACCTTATACACCTGTGTTGGGCAATGGCAGGCATTGAAGATCTGAAGTTAATTGAAACTGCATAGCCTTTATGGTATTTGGGGCTGTTCTGTTTGATATATCAACATCTCATGACTGTTGAAACAATAAATAAATGTGTATGTACTAAAAATATGGCATTGAGCTTACAGTGACCATGTGATTTGAAGCTGTTCTTTGATCTCACAAGCAGTGTTAAAAATTCCTTTCTAAAAGCATTCTCAAAAGTCAGCACTTGGCCATAAGCTTATTTGGTTTAATGGTGGTATTTTTCTTTAGTTTTATTGAATCTCTTTATCTCCGTTTAATGACCTAGTATAGCTCAACTGCATTAGCATATGACCGTGGTTTTCAGTCTTTGATCCATGGACCTCCTGTATCTAAGATTTCCATCTCCATTTGAAATTTGTTAGTGTCTGCAAATGAAAAAAGTTGGAAAGCACTGATGTATAGAAACTTAGTGAAACTGCAGCCACTTATTTTATGACTCAAATACTCACATCTTAATCTGTGTTAAATATACAATACTCATTCATTAAGTACGGTTGTTAAATTACATTACAGATTTGTAGTGTTGTCTACCTCAGTTGAGTAATGTACACTTTTATTTGATTCCTTAAAATGACATTGTTACACGTATAATAGAATACAAGTTGAACCTCTGTGGTCCTGCCATGGATATTGCTGGACCAGAGAACCTGGGAAACCCAGTGGCAGGGAGTCCTAGTAGCTCCAGGGCTGCCTGCGGAGCCATTAGCAGAGAGGCAGAGTTGACCTCCGACAAACTCCCTCATTTGGGATCAAACAGTTCCTGAAGGCGCCGGACCAGGAAAGTCCAACCTGGATTGCTAATTAGTTGTTCCTTCTTGAACTTGCACTTACTAGTGTTGTGTTTTCTCTCTCTGTGTGTTAATTTCTGCATAATCAACATACTAGTGCAGTCATATTTCCCATATTCATTTTAATTTCCTTCCATTGTTACTTTTAATAAACAACTTCAATTTATTATAAAGTTGTTTCTTTTAGGTTGGTTTGCGGCCACTACTGCATGGGAAAAAAAGAACCAAAAAGGACTTAATGTGGGATCACTCCCTGGATCAGTATTTCTGTCTTTTGTTTTTTTCCTCGCATGTATCAAGTACACTTTATTTTGGTAACTTTTAATTACTTGATGTTGAACACTTTTAAACACACCTCTTTCACGCCTACAGTTGTTTACTGAATCCCCTCTTATCTTGTATTTTATATGTTCAGTATGTAATGCTGTTGTATTATTTAAGGGGCTTGTGAAATTAAGAAATACTTTAAAACTGATTAAAATGGTAGAGATATCAGTATAGTAAATTACCATTACTTTTTTTTATCTGTTCTTCCCTCCCTCCCTCCCAAGGTTGGAATTCACACCAAGGCATGGTTTATTGCTGGAATTTTTCTGCTGATGACTATACCAATTTCTCTTTGGGGAATATTGCAACACTTAGTTCATTATACTCAACCTGAATTACAAAAACCAATAATAAGGTAATACTTTGCATATTCTTTGCTGCTAATATTAAATTTCATTCCTGGTGATGAAAATACTTGCAGTAATCTCAGATCTTCTTTTGTCATTGATGCAGGATTCTATGGATGGTGCCGATTTACAGTTTAGACAGTGTAAGTATGATCTTTCTAGTCTCTAATTTGCATTTGTTTGAACAACTGTGTTTTGCTTGCTCTGAGGGAAAGGGAAATGGAAACCAATGTAATACTTCACAGAACAATGCTAATGTGAAATCATTGCTGTAAACCTGACATTTCTTCAAATGACCTCTGCACACTCCTACTATGCTAGCAATCTGCTCTGGTGGGGGGATCTCCACCTTCCTAGTCTTCCCCTCACTCTCCTCAAAATAAGTCTTTAAAAGGGGAGTGGTGCTCTAGTCCCCTCAGTTCAACAGCAGTACCAGACAGACCAGTAATGTCCAGCCTTTTCAGAGATTCTGTGCCTTAGTGATATGTGTTAATTGATTAGGACTGGTGATTGTTGGCAGGATTTTTATTTATAAAGTTATTTCTTTAAGCTTTATTAGTTAATGGATCCAAAGTCAAAATAAGTCTTTAAAAGGGGAGTGGTGCTCTAGTCCCCTCAGTTCAACAGCAGTACCAGACAGACCAGTAATGTCCAGCCTTTTCAGAGATTCTGTGCCTTAGTGATATGTGTTAATTGATTAGGACTGGTGATTGTTGGCAGGATTTTTATTTATAAAGTTATTTCTTTAAGCTTTATTAGTTAATGGATCCAAAGGAGAGAGAAGATGTAGAAGCCGGTTATGCCCACAAAAGCTTGTGATACCATCTACATTTTTTGTTAGTGTCTAAGGTGTTGCAGAACTATTTGTTAAAGTTTTTTTTCCAGTTACAAACTGACGTGGCTACTTCTCTGAGTCTTTTGAATACTAGAAGGCTTTCATTGGCTTATTTTCCCCAAAGAATAAATGAGCAGCCTAAAATTCCACTGAAAATATTGTTCTCCACTCCTGGAGAACCCTAAGGTGTCAACCTCTGTTAGCAGAGGTTATCTTCATTTGTGCACATCTTTGGGTCCCAGTAAGTGTCTTGCCCAGTACATCATTTCTGACAGCAGCGCTGAGCCACATTCCAAACCCCTTTCAGATACAAAGGGGTCAGAAGATCTGTTTTAGTCCCATCCTGGTAGTACATTGTGTTGCAGTCAAAGGACTGAATTCTTCAATTTTTTTAATCTCTTTTCAAGAGAGGAATGTGAAGGGACATAGCAAAGGAGCTAGCTGGCCAAGGAGGGAGTGTACAGCAATAGAGGCTATCGGGGATATTCTGTGAAGTGGAGTGGCATGAGAAGGGGCTGGTAGAGGAAAATTATTTTAGATTTTTGCCGTGCATAAAACTACAAATATACTCTTCGGTGAGGATTATGTCCTTGTCATATTTCCTCAGTGTTTTTGATGCTCAAAAAATTAGACTTGGTGATGGTTTTTAAATGAGAAATTGCGTGTCTTCTCCCTCTTTGACTGAAGGAGATTTTGCTCAGATTTCTATAAAAAAAGTTGTCTTTGGGTAAAGCACAAGTTTAAAAAAACTTCATCCCAAACATGAATATTTCATATAGCTTTTATCTGCAAAGATCAGGAAAAAAGAACACAATGGAAATTATTAGTTAGCTAAACCAATACATTTATAGGTTATGTGACTTTGCTGCAGATATGATGTTTCAGCTGTGTAAAAGGTGAGTATCTTTAGAAATGTGACAAGCATATTTAAAAACTTATACCCATGTTATGTATGGTCTAACTGAAGCACAGCCAAATGGGTGGCAACATTGCAAATAAGCCTCTACTAAAGATACAGTTGCCTAATTTCTAATCCAAACCTCTGGTTGCTTATAACTCAGGCAAACTCCAAGATGTGAAGCATTTCAAAGAAAGTAAGACTTATTTAGATTAAACAAAAGTCTTTATTATGGAGCTATGAGGTGTCTGTGTGAAATAAACTTTTCACATTATAAACTTGCAGCTGTTCTTTAAGGACTCAACTCTGAAACAAGGGATTAGAAAGTTGAAATTTCCATGGAAGTAGCCTTCACTACAAAGTGCTTGGGTATATTAAGGAAAACTGTATTTTGACAGATCTATGAACCTCTGAAAACTGAAATTTCACCATATACTAAAAAAATGCTACTGTATATAGCGCTTCCTAAAACAGTGAAGATTGAAACTGTATTCATAATGCATCTTAAGTCCTTTTTGGTGCTGCAGAACATTTAGGATTCCTTTCCAGATGTTTGGAGGGAACGTCCTGCCTGGCAGAAGGGACCCTGCTACTGCTTACTGTTGGGCAAGGAGAAAAAGAATGAGGGCCAGGAAGTCACAAGTGCTGTTGCAGACGCTCAGTGGCTTGCCTTAAATCTCTTCTCTTTTTAACTCCTTTGAAAAAGGATGTTTTTGTGATTAAATCACAGGACTGGGACTCTAATCTGGGTTCAGATCAATATTCTAACTCTTCCCTTGTGTAATCTTAGGCAAGCCACTTAGTCTGTGCCTCAATTTCTCATATACAAAATGGGGATAATGCGACTTTTCCTACGGGCTTTATGAAAATAGCTCAATATTGTGGGGCTCCCAGACCAGTTATCCTCTAGACGGGAAATTCTAAGCTCTGACTGAGGTGAGGGCAACAACAATAGGGTTCCAGTATTATCTAACCAAATAGTGCCTGATTATGGAATGAAAAATGAAATGTAACTTTAACTCTCTCCCTTATATAATATACGGTTTTCAATTACTTTGACATACTGCTGCTTATATAATTTTCTGGAGCCTTAACTACCAAAAGATGCTTATGCATAATTATGTCAGAGATATTGTCTTTAAAAGTAATTTATATGAAAAGTATTCCATCTATACTTGGATTCATTTACTTTATTTGAATGCAACTTTTTAATGTTTCCATGTTTTCTTATAGTGGATAGCTTTGAAATATCCCAACATTGCAATATATGTGGATACCTGTAGGGAATGCTATGAAGCATACGTCATCTACAATTTTATGGTATTCCTTTCAAATTATTTAACCAACCGGTATCCAAATCTGGTATTAATCATAGAAGCCAAAGATCAGCAGAAACATCTACCTCCCCTTTGTTGTTGTCCATCATGGGCTATGGGAGAGTAAGTACATTATAATATCTCTTTTAATATCTTGAATGTTTAATGCTGTGCACTTTGATACAGAAAATATGCTTGCTCATACTTAGTACTATAGTAGATGCTGCCTAGTTAAATCAATTTGCAATGTGCACACAGTACAGGTGGTTTGGTTTACCACTTCTGAACTGAAGCTTAAAGTAGTTGTGGAAAGTCTTTTCAGGTATCTGTAAAAATTACAGAATTAGATTTTTTTTTTTTAATTAACTTATGACACTGAAAGACTCCCTTGTTTTCCAAAAATAGGTATGAAAGCAACATGCACCTGTTCTCCATGATTATTCTCTTAAATTTGCCTCTTTTTGAGGCAAACTCTTTTCCAGCAGTATCCTAGAGCAGGGGCCAAATCCTGTTGTTGTAGATTTACTCATGCAGTGTAGCTCCACTGACTTCACTTCAACAGCTAATGTGAGTAACATGAGCAGGATTTGGCCCATTAACTGATCATGTTTCTAGTTGCTTCATCTGATAGATATGTCCTCTTTCTTCTGTTTGATATTTTGGTAAGTTGGAATATCATGATTTTTTTTCAGAATAACCTTGTTTTATGACTAAGAAATCAAAAGCAAATGTTTTTACATTGTTAGCAAACACATAGAACATCAGAAATAGAACTCTCTTGTGCTGTGTAAAGGTCAGGTTCTTATTGCTGAAGAAAAGGAAGCATCGGTGTCCTATAGAGTGAAACAAAACAATCTGCTCATCTATATTCCATAATCTAGTGGTTTTCAATCAATGGTACATGTATCCCTGGGGTTCTCAGGTTTTCCAGGAGGTACATCAAGTCATCTAGATACTTGCCGAATTTTACAACAGTCTATGTAAAAAACACTAGCAAAGTCAGTAAAAACTAAGGTTTCATAGACAATGATTTGTTTATCCTGCTCTGTATGCTATATATGAAATTTAAGTACAGCATAGTCATTTCAGTTGACTTAGTTTTATGGAAAATGAGAGAGTAAGCAAATTATCAGTAATATTTTTCATTAATATTGACACTTTTGTATTTTATGTCTGATTTTTTGTAATTTTAAGTGAGGTGAAACTTGGGGGGTAAACAAGACAAATCAAATTTCTGAAAGGGGTATAGTAGCCTGGAAAGGTTGATGGTGTCAAAGACTTGGTGAGATGAATCTCATGACTGGAATATTGGTTTAGGGAGGCATATCTTTTTTCAGAAAGGGCAGGTCAGGTAAAATGAGAGGAGGTGTTGGATTATACTAGGGATGTTAAAATGGAGTTAATTGACTACTCGATGGAATTTCAATTGACTATTCAACTAGTCAATAGGCACTTCTGCATTCCTCCTTTGAAATGCACAAGAGCCCAGCAGGATCAGCTGTGGGGCAGCTGCCCCTTTAAAACCCCGCTTCTGGCATTTCAAAAGGGCAGCGCCATGGAGCCCGGGGTCAACTGGGGACTCCCCAGCTGACCCCGGGTTCTGGGGAAATGCCGTGCAGAGCCCGGGATCAGCTGGGGAGTTTCCAGCTGACCCCAGGCTCCACGGTTGCCCCCTTTGAAATGCCGTGGCGCTGCCACTATTGAGTACCCCTTCCCCCTCTTCCCCTTTGCTGCCTCGATCATATAGAGGCAGCAAGAGGGAGTGGGGGAAATTGACTAGTCCACAGACTAGCTGATAAGCAAATGCTTATTGGACAGTTGACTAGTCTTTAACATCCCTAGATTATACATCAAGAATATATACATTTGTTCTGAGATCTAGAGGGAGGCAGACCATTTGAGTCTGAGTAAAGATTAAAGGTGTTAAAAATAGGGTAACTTGATGGTACTAGTCTCCTAAACATCACCAGATCAGGAAGAGGGGGGATGAGGCATTTCTAGAACTAACAACAGAAATACCAGAATATTAAGACCTGATAGTAGTGGTGCGTTCTGACTACCCAGATAGCAAAACAAAAGATTTCTAATAAGTTATTCGAATGTATTGGCCTTTTTGGGGTTTTTTTGTTTTTGTGTTTTGTTTTGTTCCCGAAAATGAAGTAAACAGGGAGACAGCCATCTTAGACTTGTTTCTAACACAACAGAGAAGAATTGGTAGCAAATCTGAGGTTGGGACAGAGAGTGTCCTGTGCTAGATAGATTTCATGATTCTAAGAAAATGAAGGGATGCAGAATTGGCTTGAAAAGCCAACTTTAGCAAACTCAGAATTGATAAGAGCTCATGGGAAGAAAATCTTAGGGGAAAAGTTATATAGGAATCTTGACAGAGGGTTGCATTAACCAGCGAGTTACTAGCCTAGTGGATGGGGATGGGGAGCAATAGATGTAATATATCTTGATTTTTGTAAAAAAAAAAAAAAAAAATTTTTTTTAAGTAAGGCTTTTAACATGGATCCGCTTGGTAGTCTCAAACTAAGCAAGTTAAGGAAATGTGGTCTAGATGAAATTACTCTAAAGGGTACAGCTGGTTCTAAGAATACGTTTCTATTCAATTAGTAGTTAGCAATGGTTTGCTGTCAAGCTAGGGGGTGGGGATTGCATTTAGCCAGATCTGTCAAGGAATGGACAGTCCTGGGTCTGGTATTCTTCAATATTTCATGAATAACTGGGAATGGAAGGTAAGTTTATAAAATTTGCAGTTGACACCAAGCTGGGAGGTATTGCCGGCCCTTTGGAGGACAGGATTAGAATTCAAACGTACGTTTACAAATTGGATAATTGATCTGAAATTAACCAAATTAAATTTAGTAAAGATAAGTGCAAAGTATTTCACTTCAGAAGAAAAAAATTCAAATGCACATCTACAAAAGACAGTAATTAGCAATGTGCTAATACTGCTGAAAAAAATACATGGGTATATAGCGGATCACAAATTGAATGATGAACAATGTGATGCAGCTGCAAAAAGACTAATATTCTGGGGTATTATCTTGGGATGTCAAAATGCATTTATTAAGGTAGATGTGTATCTGCTAAAGTTTTCAGTGGTTACATGTTTTACACGTAGGGTGGGGGGTGGCAGCTCCCTAAGCATACCAGCTCTCGCAGAGCCCACTGCCCTCCACCACCTCTGTGTAAACATGTAACCCAGGCACATAAGTGAACTGTGTATGGGTTTACACTTTCGCATCCCTAGTGAGGGCTCTGCTGGATTACTGCGTCAAGATCTGGGCACCACACTTCAGGACTGATGTGGACAAATTGGAGAGAATCCAGGGGAGAGCAATAAAAATGATAAAATGTTTAAAAACCTGACCTATGAGAAAAGGGTTTTAAAAAACTGAGTATTGCTAATCTTGTGAAAAGAAGACTGAGGGGGAAAGCACCTGCTAAATTTTCAAATAAGTTAACAGCTGTTATAAAGAAGATTGTTGTTGTGTGTCCATTGAAGGTAGGACAAGGAGTATTGGGCTTAGTCTGGAGCAAGAGAGATGCAGGTTAGATATTAGGAAAATCTTTGTAAGTAATGAGGGTACAGCTCGGCTACGTCTACACTGGCATGATTTTCCAGAAATGCTTAAAACGGAACAGTTTTCCGTTATATTTCTGGAAAAAGCACGTCTACATTGGCAGGATGCTTTTCCGGAAAAGCACTTTTTCCGGAAAAGCGTCCGTGCCAATGTAGACACGCTTTTCTGCAAAAAAGCCCCGATCGTCATTTTCGCGATCGGGGCTTTTTTGCGGAAAAGAAATCTGTGCTGTCTACACTGGTCTTTTTCCGGAACAGTTTTCCGGAAGCAGCCCGAACGGAAGCAGCATAGTTTTTCCGGAAAAGCACTGATGATTTTACAGTAGCTCGTCAGTGCTTTTCCGGAAAGTCAAGGGGCCAGTGTAGACAGCTGGCAAGTTATTCCGGAAAAGCAGCTGATTTTCCGGAATAAGTGGCCAGTGTAGACACAGCCCTCTAGTATAGGTTTCTAGCAGAGCTTGCAGAATCTCCATGATTGAAAGTTTTTTAAAAACAGGTCGGACAAACACCTGTCAAGGATGGTCTAGATTTACTTGATCCTGTCATAGTGCAGGGGTCTGGAGTGAATGATTTCTTGATGTGCTTTCCAGCCTTACATTTTCATGATTCTATTAATTGTTGTATGATATTTGAGCTAATTACTGAAACATTCTGGAAGTAGATTAGCTTGAAGAAAAGGACAGGAATTTTTCATCAATTGATGTCTTACATTTCTTAAATAATAAATTCTATGTTTGTTTGCAGAGTTTTATTATTTAGATGTAAGCTAGGCGTGCTGCAGTACACTGTTGTCAGACCATTTACCACCATTATTGCTCTGTAAGTATGCACATAAATAATTTGTTGTCTTTAGGATATAATCTTTGAGCTATACTGGAAAAGACTCTTTACACAGTTGGTTTTTATATTTGATTTGATGAAATCTAAAAGCATAACTTCTTTTGTTTTGCTGTATTGTAAGTGGAGCTCAAGCTGAATTGACTGTTAACTTGTGACTTCTCTGTGACCCCCGCTTATCATTTCCTGAGTTGGGGTAATGGGTATTTAACTTGGGGGGAGGCTTTTAGTCCTTCCCTTTGCTTTTTGTCAAACAAGTATTTCTCAGATTACATGTTAGTCATTGAAAGTGAGTGAAACTTTGGATGCAGGGAATTTGACTGTGCACTCTCCTGGAGTTCTGAAATAACTTTAAATCTTAAACATAGTCATCATAAAACCAATGACATCTATAAAAACTGCATTTAACATTGAAGTTACTTGAATTGTTGTTAGTGTTGCATGATTTGCAAATATTTGTGTCCTTCGTGAATTATTGCATAGACCTTATTTAAAACAGCTATATGTGTGCGGAGAGTTAAAATGTGTCCGTGTTAGGTTTCACATGGTAACAAATGGAAACTTTTTATACTGTTGAATCCATTGCAGGTGGTAAACATGCATTTCAGTTCAGGCCTCCTGTAATGGGGCTCAAAAGAATTGACTATATACCAGAAATATGTGGTTGGGACAGTGGTTAGATGAAAAACATAGTGCCCCCAATTTGCTGCTGCTGCTGCTAGGAAAAGGAGAATGTTGGAATTTTCTTTTAGCAGTTATCCTTGGAACTTGGTGAGGCAGCTTGGGAAGCCTCAGTCTTTTCAATAATTATTTTACCAGTTTAGCTCTTCTTATGCTCAGCAAAAATATAAACAGCATCAGACAACTCTTATTGGCTACGTCTACACTGGCCCCTTTTCCGAAAGGGGCATGCTAATTTTCCAGGTCGTAATAGGGAAATCCGCGGGGGATTTGAATATCCCCTGCGGCATTTAAATAAAAATGTCCGCCGCTTTTTTCCGGCTTGTAGAAAAGCCGGAAAAAGAGCGTCTACACTGGCCCCAATCCTCCGGAAAAAAAGCCCTTTTCCGGAGGATCTCTTATTCCTACTTCAAAGTAGAGTGCCCTACATCAAAGTAGGAATAAGAGATCCTCCGGAAAAGGGCTTTTTTCCGGAGGATCGGGGCCAGTGTAGATGCTCTTTTTCCGGCTTTTCTACAAGCCGGAAAAAAGTGGCGGACATTTTTATTTAAATGCCGCAGGGGATATTTAAATCCCCCGCGGATTTCCCTATTACGACCTGGAAAATTAGCATGCCCCTTTCGGAAAAGGGGCCAGTGTAGACGTAGCCATTCAGTATAAGTTTTCATATTTGAAAGGTTATCTTCACAGCCATAATGGTTAGAAGTTTAATTCTTTAAATGGGGAAACATTCTGCTAAATAGATAAAAATTGCCCACTTAAGCTCCTGTTCCTCACCAATAAAAACTGGAGTGTTTTTTTTTTTTTTTCCTCCCATATCAGAAGGGTATAGCTTCTTTTCCATTGTAAAAATACTACCATAAATATTGCTTTGTATTTCTTCCATTCTTGTATTAGCTCTCAGTACTGGTATTAATGAACATAGGTTTTTACATTCTGACTGCTGGTCATTGGGATACAAGTTAAGTAGCACTTTTAGAAAAGAGGCTCATTTGTATAATGGTTAACATCAAACTTTCTTCCAGAATCTGTGAGTTGGTTGGTGTATATGATGAAGGGAACTTTAGCTTCAAAAATGCTTGGACTTACTTGGTTATCTTTAATAACATGTCGCAACTGGTGAGTATCACAAATGTATTTTTGGTATTTTGTTAAAATTAAGATTTTCAAGTATTGGCAGGATCGCTGAAACTTTTATTAAAATCTTCTCAGTCATATCTACTAGATCCCCACTACATGTATAATAGAAGGAAAAAGTCATTCTCTACTATTTGCTTGCTTCATTATTAAACACTTCTGTAGAACATATATGAAATTTGCCATTGTGGTTAGGTAGAGAGAGAATGAAAAGACTTAGGCTGCATCTAGATTGACATGATTTTCCGGAAATGCTTTTAACGGAAAAGTTTTCTGTTAAAAGCATTTTCAGAACAGAGCGTTTAGATTGGCATGGACGCTTTTCTGCAAAAGCACTTTTTGCGGAAAAGCATCCGTGCCAATCTAGACGCGCTTTTCCACAAAAAAGCCCCGATCTCCATTTTTGCGATCGGGGCTTTTTTGCAGAAAACAAATCTGAGCTGTGTACACTGGCCCTTTTGCACAAAGGACTTTTGCCTGAACGGGAGCAGAATAGTATTTCTGCAAGAAGCACTGATTTCTTACACTATGAAGTCAGTGCTTTTGCGGAAATTCAAGCAGCCAGTGTAGACAGCTGGCAAGTTTTTCTGGAAAAGCGGCTGATTTTCTGGAAAAACTGGCCAGTCTAGACACAGCCTCCTTGTTTTAGTAAGATAATATACATCCGTTCATCACTACATCTTTGGTTCAAGTCCAGTCTGTTTGTAGTCAGTCACTACAAGTCATTTGCAACTGTTTTTTCCTTGCCATGTTGTAAATGAAATAATTTGTAATTATTCTCACTATTGGTGAGCATCATAAACTGCCACATTTGGGATTGACAGTCTCGTTGGTGTTCTCAGCAAAGTCTGAATAGGTGTGGCATTGTAGTCAAATATTAGTAGCAGTGGTTTGTACATATTAGAATTGTACTGGTGATAAAACACAGTGAGGCTTGCATGGTGACTTTCTGTGACGCCTTATTCTGTGGATAGAAGACTTTACTCTTAAGGATTGTCAATATGACATATTACTTAAACAAATTTTTCAAGTGTAAGTTTTTTAAAAATGATAAAGTAGGGAATTTAAGAACTTCTAAACTAAAACTAATCTGTAGTTTTTTCTTGCATTGTACGGAAACATTTTACATAATAAAACAGTTGCTTTAAAATAACTATGTACAAAGTAAACATAAGTAATTAAAAACTGTAAAAGGTAAGAATTTTTCTTTTCCTCTAGTTTGCGATGTATTGCCTCGTGCTGTTTTATAAAGTCCTGCGTGAAGAGCTGAACCCAATCCAGCCTGTTGGCAAATTTCTTTGCGTGAAGATGGTAGTCTTTGTTTCCTTCTGGTAAGTAAAATATTTAATCAATATTTTTTGTTTCAGGGCTTCTCACAGGAGAAACAATCTTAGGAATGTTCAGGTCACTGATGTATGCAGTCTACACACTGGGTGCCCCAAACCTCTGACTACGAGAAAATAGGACTGGATAACAGCAGATGCATCACTCAATGATTGCCCTGTTCTGTTAATTCCTTCCAAAGCAACTAGCATTGGCCAATGTTGGAAGACAGTATACTGGGCTAGATTGGGCCATTGGTCTCACCCACTATGGCATTCTGTTTAAACTACAAAAATGTACTATTGTTGAAATTAAGTTATATTTAAAATTTGTATAAAAATTTAACTAGCAAGCTTCTTTAAAAGAAATATAAAGTATCTAAGTAAACTTTATATTGTGGGAGACTAAGAACTGTTATATTTTATTCATCTACAAAACTAGAATTTCCTAACTTTTAAAATGGGTTAGAATGTTTAGGATTTAGGATGATGTCCTCAGGATTATATTCTAAGCCTTACTTATAACTCTGGTTGACTAATGTACAGTCAGCATAGCTATGTCTACACTGAAAGCTTCTTGTGCAAGGGTTTTTGTGCAAGAAGTCTTGCGCAAGAAAACGTCCACGCTGCCATGTGCGAGCTGTGCTTTTGCACAAGAGTGCCCATGGCAGTGTGGACGCTGTCTTGCACAAGAAACCTCTAATGACCATTTTACCATAGGGCTTGCACAAGAAATCCCTCCCGAGCATCCACACTGCTCTCCTGCGCAAGAGGGCTTACACCTGTTAAAGAGCTTAGCTCTTGCGCAAGAAGCCCTCTCTTACCACGCTGTACTCTAAATTTCCTTGCGCAAGAGCAGGCGGACAGTATGACACTCTGTGGATTCTTGCGCAAGAACAGTTGTTCTAGCGCAATAATGCGCCAGTGTAGACATAGCCTATAGGTGTTAGGTTACGTGAGGCTAATGAATAACTTATTGTGTTTCTGAGCAGCAATGTATTCCAGTGCAGAGGCAGTGAACCTAGGACTTCGGGAAGCTTGTTTTTTTGTCTAGACTTTTCCACTGTTGTTCTGCATGATCCCCTGGGAAACTGTACTACTTTGTGTCCATTTTTCTTTCATTTGTCTCATCTGTTAGATTGTAAGTTTCTTAGGGTGGGACTCTTTAGAAATGTGTTTAGTATAATGGGGCCTTTACGTTCTACTATAATACAAATAATAATCTTTATAGGCAAGCTGTACTTATAGCACTGCTGGTGAAAATTGGAGTTATTTCTGAAAAACGCACCTGGGAATGGCAAAGTGTAGAAGCTGTGGCCACAGGCCTACAGGTAAGTACAGCCCCTGCTTACAGGGAACTGGTAGAGGGGTAAAGTGAGTATTTTTCAAGTGAAACAGGATTGCTTGTTCACAGACACTCATGTTTCCAATGAGACTAGATTTCTGCTGCATATTGGATATTATGTGTAAGCAATGCAACTCATCTTAAATGAGTGAAGAATGTTACTTAGCACGTTGTCACCTGTTATTTGTATTGCAGAAATATTTTTTTAGTTAATCCCAACTGAGAATTTTTAACATAAATAATACATTTTTGAATGCTTTGTCACAATATATTCACTACTGAGTTTTCACTTATAGGAAGTTAGGATATGGGCTTGGATGCCACAAAGTGCCGAATTGAAACACTGTGGTAAGCTTGGTTGTCAGAGCAATCTGCCAATATCTTGCAGTGCTGCTGGTGCACAAGGAGTAGCTATTGGTGCCCCAAAGCATTGTTTTTCCAAAGCTCAGAGTGTTCCTGCCAGTTTTGCTCTGGAAATAGAGATCTAGGAATCTACATTTTGTCATGGTGATGTTCTTGCAGGACTAGATATGAGTGTGTGTCTCTCTCCTTGTTGCAGGATTTTATTATCTGTGTGGAAATGTTCTTTGCTGCTATTGCTCATCACTACAGTTTTACCTATAAACCTTATGTCCAAGAAGCTGAAGAAGGATCATGCTTTGATTCTTTTCTTGCAATGTGGGATATTTCTGATATTAGGGCAGATATATCTGAACAGGTTCGAAATGTTGGTAAGTACTTGGATGATGCATCAGTTTTATAAAATACCTTAAGGTCTGGTATTGCTGCCGTATCTGAGCACTTTACACATACATTCGATAGCAATAGTGAAGGTTTTAGTAGATATAGTGGTTTTTGGCTCTTCACCCTTGTTGGGATAAAAATTCTGTAGGGCAGGATTGTGTGTTTTGTTTTAGTGTTTATTATTATTTAATATTTTTGTTTTGGAGTAAAAATTGTTTAGGTAAGGGTGAGAGATAAAGATATGAATACTTAGTGGCATGTTTTAATTCTGATTTGCTGAAGTGATTTGTTTTCTGACTAGCTTTTTTCCTAATATTGCTGCTTAATTTTCTCATCTTCAATTTTTGGCATATTAAGGCCAGTTTCATGTAGCCCACTTACTATTTTGTACTTGATATCTACCAAACACACTCTTGGAGCTATAAAAATAATAAATAATACTTTTTAATTTGGAACAACTTTAGGAAGGACAGTTTTGGGACAGCCAAGGAAAATATTTTTTGAAGAGGATCATGAACAAAACGAGCATACAAGTTTACTGTCTTCATCTACTCAAGACCCAATTTCTGATGCTGCTTCTATGCCATCTTCACCCATGAGTGGTCACTATCAGGGGTTTGGACACACTGTGACACCTCTGACTACACCTACAACAACCACAGTATCTGATGGCATTTATAATGCTATTGTTGCAGAAGAGAATGAGGATTCCCTTGGTCCAGGACATAGTACACCTGAGAAGCCTTTGGATAAAAGTTAAGCCCATCTCCACTTGAGTGTGCTTAAGGAACCTATTCTGTACTTTCCTACAACATAGTTTCATGATGACATATTCTATTACTCTTGAAGGAGTAGTTGTTAGCTGGATAAACTGCAACTTGTCTCTCAAACAGGAACAAAGTAAGTGGTTGGAATTTCAGTTTTGAATACTGAATTTGTTTAAACTCCATAATGGATTTGAATATGTATCAGTTCAATATAAAACATGCACACCGTTTAAATTTTTAGCTCAGATTTTTAATAATCTGTTTAAGAGGGTTAAAATATTTAGAAAACACTATAGTGCCTAGCATAAAAAAGGCATAAAAATTAAACTCTTAGCACAAAAGATATCTGTGAACAAATACTCTATTGCTCTTCAAATGTGTGGGATATAGATAATGCTTCTAACTGGGGGACTTGATTTCAGGAATGTAATTTAAGCAACTAAATAGAGGAGATTTCTTATATTAAGTTTCTCTCCAATGAGTTGGTAGTAATGTGTGTCAGAATGGACTTCTGTACTTCCCCTCTCCCCTTCCCAACTCTGCTCCACACACCCCATCCTTAATTAAGATACTCTCGTTTCCAATAATATTCTGGGCATCAGCCAAAACATCCTTTTTAAAAAAGTTCTCCATACACAGGCCTAACTAAGCCTGTGAGTAAGAGACTAAGCCCAACACCCCCATTTGCCACACTTAGCATGGCAGCACTGAGTTGCTGGGATGCCTTCTAGAGAGGTACAGTCTGAGCACAGGACTGTAAGCCAGAAATGTATTGTAATTGCAAATCTAGGAAAGTAATTTACATTTTGCCACTATTTTCTCTGTCTTTAAAATGGGAATAACACTTACTTCATATGCATCCTGATAAGAATACTTCAGCTTGCAAAGTGTCAAACAGGAAAAACATTTCATAAGTTGAAGAAACTGAATTCTGTACTTAGAACTACAATGAACTTACCCCTTTCTCTTAAAAATCATTAACATGTCAAAGTAGGGTATTTCCCAACAAAATGTTTTGTCTATAAATTTTTGTTTGTGGATGTGCTGTTATCTTATGCCTCTGTATAGGTTCAAATTCAGTAGCAAACTTGACACATTGGGAGGAAAATTAAGATATTCACTAAGGTGGAATCAAGTAGCTAGTGTAATATTTAATATACTGTTACAGACTTCAGATCAAGAATATTGGCATTTATATCAGAGTTCTAAGGACTTTTCGCAAGTCTCATTAACCCTGGGGTGTATTTTTTCTATCTTAACATCAAACTTGCATTTGCATTGCATGTTTGCAACTTGGTATTTATATAGAGAAAGAAAAGTGGAGCTGCATTAGATGCTTTTAAAAGTGGTATCTGCACCATTCCACCAAAGTACTTTTTTCCAGCATTGATACTCTACAGATTTTTAATTGTAACTTCTAACTGTTTAATTCATCTTAAAAGTGCTTTTTGCAGTACTAGTGTTATGTAAATATTTTGCCTTATTCACTAGGCTGCATATTTTATAGCCGAAGTGGAGTATGTACTTAACGTATTTGAATTCGATAGAAAAGAAAACAAATCACACTTTCAATACGCCGATTCATTGCCTTCATTGTAAATAAGCAAATAAAGGTTTTATTTAAATGTGTTAATTGTCTCTTGTATTTGATTTATTTCTGAAATCTAGTTACATCCAAGATGATTTATGGTGTGGGGGGAAATTCCTTCCCCTTTTCAAAAAGATCTTAAAATGCAGCTAATCCAAACACTTCTTCAGCATTTTCAGTGTCTTCAGTGAGGCCTGAAGTGAGAAAAGGAATTTTGGCAATAAAATACACCTGGATTGATTTAGTAAACAGAATACCAACCTGCTTATGTGTCTTGATTTTTATCTACAAACACTTCCCAGGAGCCTTTTCACATAAAAACCATATTTTAAAAAAAATACATTTATAGATCCTTTAACCTCCTCCTATGATGTAGCAAAGATAGGGTAACTGGTGTGCTCAAGACCAAAGATTCACACAGTTCTAAACTTCACCTTTATTTTTCTAAATGTCAGAAAATAGATGGGATTTGTAATCTGTGTTAACTAATTGAGATTATTGGGTAAAGAGGGTATATTCCAGAAGTACATGCGTCTTCAAGGGAATGCCCTTCTGGCAGCCCCCTTCCCCTACCCACTGTGCTCTTCAGCTTCAGTGCTTCTGGCAGTTTTGAGTTGCTGGTATAGGTGATAGTAGCAAAGTTGGCCTTCGGAAGATAAGTTACAAGGATATGGCCAGATGGTAAGAAGAGCAATTTGGGTCTGTTCCTATTTTATTTTACACAGGTAAATTGTACAAGGCAGTGGAGAATCAAGATTTCCAAATTTAACTTCATATTCGTTTAATTGCTAGAGAGCGACTGATGTTTCTCCTGCCTGTTTAGTATTTCATCTGAATTACTAGCTTCCTTTTTTTATCCCTTGTTGAATATTTTTCCCCCTGGGCTCTAATATACACACATGCTGGATAGCCATCTGTGTTGGATGATTTAGGCCAGGGCTACTCAACTTTGGAAGCCCCAGGGGCCACAATGATACTCACAGCACATGCCGAGGGCTGCATATACATGCAAATAGATTTTCACATGGATGGGCATGAATACAAAGATTAAAGCAAGACTACACAACATGCAGGCCCCATGTAAGTCAGTTCTCCTTATAACAATAAAATGCAATATGTTCTACCCATATGACAGCACTTTTAATGAGTAATGACAGTCTAGGAATTTAACTATTAAAACACATCAACAGAAGATCATTATATTGACTACTTTGTTTTGGCTCCCACCTGCAGGCCGCATGTTGAGCCCCACGTAAACCCAAACTGCACTGTGTGCTGCAAACAGGCGGCAGCAGCCCACAGGTGGTGTGACAGTAGCCCTGATTTAGGCACAGCAAATCCTGCATCTTGGCATAGGGTTTTTATGATTCTATGTCGTGTTCCCTCCACTTTTTTCAAATTATTTTAACTAAGATGGAATTTATTTTATATGGCAGTGTGACCCTGCCATTTCTCTTAATCTCAATGATTTTTTTAAATTTCAGTACCACCCTTGTTCATCTTCTTGAAAATGTAATGTCCCAGTCTAAGTTGGTGTGCTCCAGTTCCAAAATGTTTAAAAGCTATTGATAAAATTAGATAAATTCTAGAGTAGAATCCATTTTTTATAGTTCACTGTCATATTTTTTCTGGAAGACATTCACAAGAGTTCAACATTAGCTCTTAAGTCATTCATTAATAAAATCAGAGGATGAAAAGGCCACATAGTCTCACTAGTTTCTACTGCCCCATCCTATTTCGCAGTATTTTCTGAAAATTGAATATGATGGTAACTATTGCCTCCTATTCATGTTTCTGATTTTTCTTTCAGAATCAGATGTTGCAGTTCCACAGAGAAGCACTCAACTTGCTGAATTCCATTTTTTTTTCAGAAAAACTACTTCCTCCTCCCATTTCTTAGTATGCTGGATTCAAGTAACTCAAGGTTGCAGCTTCGGATCTTTCTCCTTTTCCTACTCAGATCCTTTGTATTATGATTCTAAAAAAATAAACATGGTCTGGAGTCTCTACTTCTAGGCAAGAAAACTGCCTTTGGTATAAGACAAGGAACCTCTCATTTGTGTTCAGTTGTATTTGTCCCTTGAAGGATTATTAAAACCTGCATTGAAGAGCCCAGTATTTGGTGATTTGGGACTTGTCTCCACTGCAGCAAGCGATCTACAAGTGGTTGATGTGTCCAACACACTAGCCATGTGTGACTAGTAAACTGTAAACATAGCACAAAGAAAAATCTACTGAGGGCTTCTCTGCATAGAGCAGCGATATTTTCTGGTGTGATTTCTAAAGTGCAATGTGGCATATTAATTTTATATATAGACCATGGTGGTGCTCAAACATACTAACAGCACTATATTAAGCACACTAGGTATTCTTTAATGCCCACTAGCATGTTCTACATGGATCAGTCCATGTACAGCACATTAGAAATTAGTCCCATGGGACACATTTTCCCTTTAAAGTTGATCAGTTAGATTAGGAAAGCAAGAAATAATTACTATATATATATATATATATTAATCTTAACGTGGAAAAGCAGTTTTGATCATTGCTTTTCTCTCATCAAATGAGACGCGCCAGCTAGGCCTGATCCACATTAAGAGGGACAGTTGACAATATATTTAATTCCAGCTACATAATTATCTTAAATTGCATTTTAGGGTCACTAGCACAGCAGAAGGTTGACGGCAGCACATGCTCCCTTTGACTTCTCTTACTCCTTGGCAACGTCTAGACTGGCATGATTTTCCGGAAATGCTTTTAACAGAAAAATTTTCCGTTAAAAGCATTTTTGGAAAAGAGCGTCTAGATTGGCACAGACGCTTTTCCACAAAAGCACTTTTTGCGGTAAAGCGTCCGTGCCAATCTAGACCCACTTTTCCACAAAAAAGCCCCGATCACCATTTTCACGATTGGGGCTTTTTTGCGGAAAATAAATCTGAGCTGTCTATGCTGGCCCTTTTGCGCAAAAGGACTTTTGCCCGAACGGGAGCAGCATAGCATTTCCGCAAGAAGCACTGATTTCTTACAGTAGGAAGTCGGTGCTTTTACGGAAATTCAAGTGGCCAGTGTAGACAGCTGGCAAGTTTTTCCAGAAAAGCGGCTGATTTTCCAGAAAAACTAGCTAGTCTAGACACAGCCCTTGTGAGAAACAAGACTATTTGCAGAATATAAAAATAAAAATAGGTGCCACTAACAGTTGCATGATTACATATTAGACATCAAGAACGCTAACAGAAAAAACAGTAGGAGAGCAGTTTACCTTCTTGGATACACAGTTATAGATACACTAGCACATAAAGAAGTATATATATAATACTTTTCCTGCAGAACAACAGAGTGACATCATCACGTCACTCTGTATGCCGCCTGCCTCCCCTCTCTCTTCCCCCTCCCCTTTCCTCAGTGCGCAGCTGCCGCATGGAGTCTGCAAGGCCTCAAAGTGGCTCTCTGCTCACCCAGCGGGCAGCGGGACAGCAGGGGGCTTGCGAGGCCTCAGGACACTCCTCCCGGAAGCCGGGGCAGAGCCAGGCCTGACATGCCACAGCTGGGAGAGGGGGGAGATTAGGGACAGGAAGCAGCATGGCTGGATTTTTTAAAGGAGCCACATGTGCTGCTTGCAGTGCTGCCCACAGATCCTGCCCCAGAGATCCTCATCCCTAGAGACCCCTGGGTACTGACCAAGCTACCCCTGCTACCTCTTCTCTGGCCAGACTCCCACCAGCATCCTCCTTCCTGGCCAGACACCTATCCCTAGTTTGCTTCTGTACCCTACTCTCCATCCAGATTCTGCACCCCCATCTCTATCCCACTTACTGGCAGACCTGTCCTGTACACTGGGTCCCTCATTTTGGCCCCACCTCAGAGTGTAGGGGTGCCCACAAAATCCCAGAAGAGTTAATTTGGTCTGAGGCTTTGAACCCTCATCCTACCCCAGGGGCTGGAGTGCCAGGAGAGTGAGGTGTTGCAGTTAAGATCACATCACTCAGGTTTGGGAAGCTTTGGAAGGATTTTTTTTTTTTTTGCATCTCACTTGGATGGTCCCCACAGATTTTTCTGTGGGTCAGTGGCCCTGATCCAAAACAGGCTTCCCCCCCCCCCATAAATAAAGACAATGCTGAAACGTGTGTTTGACATTTTATTTAAAAATGAAGACTGGTGGCCAAGCCCCCATCTGGCTGCAGCATCACAATGCTCCTGTACCTCTCGCAGACCCCAACCGTGAGCCCACCATACACCTGAACTCCTCACATCCCTGAGCTAGCATCCCCATCACCTCCTGAACCCAAATTCCCTCCCCGAGTTTGTACCTCTCACCCCTTCCCACACCCAAATCCCTCCTTTCCACCCCAGAGCACACACCATCTGTCTTAACCCAGTGAGTAAAGCCTGGGGACAGCAAGTGATGGAGAGGAGGGAAACACAGAGGGCAGGGCCTCAAGGAAGGGGTGTTGTCTTGGGGAAGGGATGGGGTAGATCTTGGCTTGCCCTGACATTTAAAAAGTGATCTTGGGTGTAAAAAGGTTGGAGACCACTGCTTTAGAGTTAAGTTCTCCTGTGATCAAACTTATGCTGCTGCAATTGTAGGGGTAGCACTGACTCAAGAACAAAATCAGTGGAGCCTACAACCAAGGAAACAAACAGTTTCAGAGGAGGGACTGTAGTCACACATGGTACTCATGAGTTTATTTTAAAATTGCCTCCTTAATAAATCTTAGTGTAACTTAAAATAGTTGCCACAAAAGGTGGGGGATTGAGGGAAGGATCTAGTTTCATAAGATTGCATTCTATGAATGTAGATGTTTATACAGTGCTTACTGCTAAGGTATCTGAGTATGCCTGCCATAGAAGTAACAGCTTCCTCTGTAGCTTGCACAATGGAAAATTAGAAATAAAGTAATCAATTCAGTTAATGAAATTTCCTGCTACAGAACAAGATATGACTTCACCATAACAGTTCAAAATGCACAATCACTTGTACTTCCATCAGTAGGTCCTCATCAAAAACACTTTTTTAATCAATAATAAAAACCCCTTTTGGACCAATACATAAAACCTATGTTTTAGGCTCATATTGTATTTAACATCTCAAGTACTGATCCATTCTGCTAGCATGCATAGATAATTAGATTTAAGCCAAGATCATTTTCTGATTTCAACTTGTGAACCAGTTTCCTGGTGACTACTCTTCACTGTTTTACTGTGATGCTGACACTGCTTTTATAGTGCTGAATGCTGAGCACAAGTTCATCTCCAAGTTGAACTAGGATGGGTTTGTCAAGAACAACTGCAGCCTGTTTCCAGTGGGAGGAATCACTCGATGTATCCAAATAAATATCATCATCTAGATGTATATGATACCAAAATGGGATAGCAGTGACTTGGCCAGACTTACAAACTTGCACCTGAAAAAAAAAGAGAATGTTTAAGGAAGTAGAAATCTAATTTTCAATTCTGATTTTATTTGTATTATGGCAACATATGCATCAACAACAACAAAAATGCAATGGCTCAAGCTTGTTCAAATCTACTTCAAAAGTGGTCTGTACTGAAATAGCTTTTGTACTGAACTTTTCAACTATGATCACGAGGAACTGAAAAAAATGGTGTGTGCTCTACTTACCTTTACTTCTCTTTTGGAGCTGTTCAAATAGGGATGCATGAGATCTAGTCTTAGAAGCGCTGCTGGCTTGCTTAAGGGCATACATGGTAATGTGGAAAGATCCAAACACACACGAACAGGCACCTAAGGAGGAATACACCAGGCTTTCAGGCTTAATTATACAACAGCAACTTTCTATTTCTGAATGATATAGCGTTAGAATGCTAAAATAACTATCACTTCTAATCCTTTTTAAAACCTGGATTGGTACAACTTGTATCAAAGGAAAGTCTCCTACCAAAGTTGTTTTTCTGAACACTGAAGTGTTGGAAGTCATAACTTTTACGGCTCTCCATGTCAGGCCACAAATGACTTCTGTCCTATCTGAAGCATCAATATTTATGCACAGAAATTAGGTCATAAAATATGTTGAAAAAAATTATTCCAACATTATTAAAACTTCCAAAATTCCTTATGGATTCCTTGTATCGAAGTTGTGGCCCTGAACTGGGCATTTGTGAATTTTGAGAGCTATGCTTGATATTGAAACATCTCACTAACTTCCTACCTTGAACTGGTTGATAAAAGGTGCTATATTAAACCCAAGTGTGGGTTCAGTCCCTTGAACTGCACTTTCAAGTACTAAGGATTGCGATTCTACGAGCATCCCATACATCACCACATATTGTGGGAATATCTTTCCTCCAGAGTGAAGCAAACACCTATAAACAGAGAGAAAGATATTTAATGCCAAAATCTGTTCTCCTGTTATTAAGACAACTAAACTTACTGCATTAAGGTTTTAATTCAGGATGGGCACTTAAGTTCCACTGAAGTCAGAAGTGTTACAATTCCCTGAATTGGGACCCAACAACTATTCAGATGACTCCCAATCTAAAATATCTTATCAAATTCTACACTGTTTGGATTTTTAATATGCCAAACTGAGGATGCAAAATTTCAATTATGTGGCTAATCGAATAGTCGATGCAATTTGTATTAACTATTTGATTAGTCGATAAGGACGCTTTCACCTTTGAAGCGTGGCTGTTGCTACACTTCAAAGGCGGAAGTGCTGTGGGGAGCATGGGCCAGTGGGGAACTCAAGCAGTCCCCCACTGGCCCCATGCTCCATACGGTGCTGCTGTTTTGAAACACCACAGGGAGCCCGGCCTCAGGCTCCATGTGGCATTTCAAAGTGGCAGCGCTACCTGGGGTCAACAGGGGAGTGCCCAGCTGACCCCAGGCTCCACAAGTGGCACTGCTGCTTTGAAACACCCCGCTGTCACTTTGAAACGCCGTGTGCAGCCCGGGCCAGCTGTGGATTCCCAGCTGGCGCCGGGCTGCATGCGGCATTTCAAAACAGCAGTGCTGCATGGAACCCAGAGTCTGGTCCCAGGCTCCATGCAGTGCTGCCACTTTGAAATGCTGCGGGGAGCACAGGGCTAGCGGGGGACTGCTTGCATAGACTATTCAGTTAGCCCGTTAATCTAAATTGACTAGTCGTTCACATCCCTATGCCAAGCATAAGATTTTTCCTAGGTTTTTTTAAATCATATAGTGATACATTTCTATAAAAATTAAATAATTTATCTGATTGTCTTTGACCAAAATATCTATATTGGTCACGTAAGTGGAAGTTTGGAGTTCCTAGGAAGGTTCTCTCTCACCTTCAAAAGATTTATAAATGTCATACAGTACCTGGATATTGCTGCCTTTTCCATCACCTCCTGCTGGATTAAACCTGAAGTCTCTATGACGTCCAGAATTATAATACTCCACAGTTTGTCTGATTTGGGTCTCTGTAACACCACATTCTCATCTTCCACGTGGCTGAGCCAAAACTCTAATGTATCTTTAGGGAAATGGTTGGCTTCTGAAATTATGTTTAGGGCTCTTTGATGCTGCTCTTTTTCAACAGAACTGTAAGCTTTAATTGGCCCAAGTTTGCCAGCAATTATTGGCAGAATTGAAAAACCCTCAGACACATCTAATACATATAAAGGGTCATGAGTTGAATATGTGTTCTTGTTTTGACTCTCTTCAAAATTCATCTGACTGCCACGACCATCAACATCCATTGCCTGAGATTCTTTCCATGGGATCAAGGATGACAGCACTTTGCCAATAGCAGTATTAAAGCATTCATGGTATGGCACATTGTTCAGAAGTGCAATTTCAGTGGATTCCATACTAGTAGTTTTAAGACCAGCCAGAGCACTACATAGTTCAGCCTCATTGCCCAAAGCCAGTGTATTCTCCCTTTCAGTGTCCATCACGTACTCTGAAGTCAAAACAGAAATCTTCTGGATCCTCAAGTAACAATCTTGGCAGCATACTTCCATCATCACAGTGTCTCCAGGTTTTACTGAATAATCTTATTAAAACATTACAAATGGTACATTAATAAGGGAAATTATTAATTATAAGATAATATCCATACAAATGTCTAATCTGTGGTTTTAGGAGGCAAAAGCTACACTAGAATCATTCTCCATCTACTAATGAGGAAACCATAGGCAGAGAAGAGGGATAGTGAGGGTTGGGGAAAGGTTTAGTTACAAATGATGTAAAAATTGCAAAGAATATCCAGAGAGCCTAAAAAAAAAGAGAAATAAGGACTCTGCTGTGGTTAGTGATGTTTTATCCTTTTCCCCTAATGTGATCCCTTAACTCTGAGGCAAATTGATAGCATCCTTTTAAGACTTGTTATGCTCAAACAAAATGTTTTAAAAAAAGTTTATTCTGCCATGGAAAATCCACATACCAGGAAGGCCCTCCACAGGGTAGACTGCTTGTTCCCAGCAAGTTTCCTCACTGGGACTTGTAGACAGACTGTGCTCATCATCAAGCTGCAGTACAAACCAGACCACAATAGCATCCAACATGCCTTCTTGAGTGACAGGTATGCTGATCTTGCAAGGCTTCCTAGTTGCCAGGCTTTTCAATTCCTGATCACGAACGGTAAAAAGAGAAATAAAACTTGAGTATGCCTTTCCCCAACAGTGATCGCTACCTGATGTTGAAAATGGGATGTACATCACGTTCCTTTTTACTATTGAGAATGTAAGTTTAGAGCATGTTTTTAGATTTAATCCCAGAAGCTGTTCATTTTATTTTTGAATTTGTACTTTGATATGAAATTTCAGCTCCCAACTGCTATCAATCTTATTTTAAAACAGAATATGTTTGAATGACATGGTTTGAGAACCAACACTGGGCATGGGGGGGGGGGGGG